CGAGGTAGGTTTATGCAAGGGCTCTAAATGGATAGTAAGGATTCACTATTCTGCCCTCTTTTTTGCAACGCCGGCATCGCTGTGGTAAGAACACCATAAGAATCGCGGCCTCTTTTTTGAGAAAAGTTACCAGTTGCTTTGCCAGTTACTTGCTTAGCAACTGAATAAGTGTGACAGTTGTCGATAAAGTAACGATAAATAGTTACCCATAAATTAGGAATCTTATATCCGTACTAACACGACTGACGATATGAATGTAGCTCATTCATCTTGCATTTAAATTCTCAGTCTCACTTACTATCTCCATAACATGAGCGATATGGAGCTTGCAGCTTTTACATGCGATCGTAGCATAATAGAAGCGAATCAAACACGCTTGACAAAACATATAACTGCATCGTATGTTGTCCTTCTTTCAGATTTCTAACTGATCGAATTCAAGCATTTTTGAAGGAAAACAATGAAGATTGGCGTTCTTCTATCATCTTACGAAAACAGCAACTCTACTTTCGAGGAATATGGATATCAAGATCCGTCGAAATATATCTCCAAACATGAGTTTCATTTACGATTTATCACCAAAATCGACGCGCACAAACAGCTGGACGATGTAAAAAAAGAAAACTTTGACCTTCTCATCAACTTCATGTGGGGTCAACATAACGATAATGTCGCTGGCATCGATGCTGTCAAGTACGCAGAAACATTAGGAATACCAATTATCGGAACCAGCAGCAGGTTCCTGTCATTAACCAAAATAGATTTTCAAGAAGCAGCATCGAAGTGTAATCTTCTCACTCCGAAGTATAATGTTATTAGATCTCCGGAAGATATTGTTACTCTGACAACATTTCCTTTGATCGTCAAAACGGCGAGTGGATGTGGCAGCTTGCATATGACTGCCACTTCCGTTTGTAGTAACGCAAGTGAATTGAAAAATGAAGTTCAGAAGATCTTAGGTGTTGCTGGATGTGAAGTTTTGGTTCAAGAATACATCTTTGGTGGCGAATACGCAGCCATAGTTATTGAAGATACCGATGGTGTTTATGCATTAGATCCTCTCGAATATGTTTTTCCGGATCGTTTTTCTTCAAAACAGCGATTTTTACATTTCGATAATAAGTTCAGTTTAGTGGACACTGGAGAAATCAAAATAAAATTCGTTGACGAAATCAATCCTCTCTTCATTCGACTTAAGGAAACAGCGTGTAAGTCATTTAACGCACTTCATGTGCACGGCAGTGGATACGCACGAGTCGACTTCAGAGTTGATCAGGATAATAATATCTATGTTCTGGAAGTGAATCACACGCCTGCAGTTTTCTATCAAATTGGAAATACTTTTGGAGATGATGATACTATTAAAAAATGCTTCAAAGGTGGACACGAGGAGCTTTTAGATAAGCTTATCAAGGCGAAGCAGAAGACTTATATGGTTGCGTGCTTCTATAATAACATGGGGCCCAAATACCACAGTATAGCTGTCAATGAAAACTCCAGCAAGCTTTTAAAAGACATGTGCGACAAATACGACTATTGCGGTGAAGTTCTGGACCTTGGATGTGGCACAGGGCTAGTCGGGGCAACTATCAAAAACTGTGGACACAAGGCGAATTTGACAGGTGTCGATATTTCACCTAAAATGGTTGAACACGCTACATTATATTCGAAAATAATCTTAGGTCCAATGGAAGAAATCATTTACAAATTAAACGATAGAAAGTTCGACCATATATTCGCTTTCGGTTGTCTTCAGTTTTTGAATAACGTTATCTTCGAAGGAGTATTGACTCGTATGATGGAAATGGCACTGAAATCCATTACAATAAGTATTGAAGATATAACCGACGAATATAACGACGGGGTAATAGCAAAGGGATGTGGGTGTATTTACAGCTTCAATAATACACACGTGCTTGATAATTTCAAGATTCCAGGCAATTGGGCAATTGTCCATCGCGATAGGCATTTCCTGTGGACATCACCATCTACGGGAATCGGCATTTATGGTTTACTCGTTCGTTTTGAGAGGAAACCGGAGAGCACCGCATCTGCATAGGAACTCTTTCTCTCTTATTAATTGCACTCATAAACAATTGAATCTAGAAATTGTAGCTTGTTGCACTATAGAACTAACAGTTTACTAATATTTAGAATAAACTGATCATAGCTTCATCAAATTTGCTATTGGAAATACAATGACTTATCTCTTGGCGAGGAAACAATTTCAATATGCTAGTTTCGGGTGTGGGTGTGGGTGTGGGTGTGGGATGGATGTGGGTGTAGGCGTGGGTATAATAGAAATAAATCATTTGCCGACACCCACACCCACCCTCCTTTTACTTCATATCTATATATTAGATAAGCACCAAAGTTGAAAAAATAACACAAAATATGCACTTCGCAAAGGATTTATGTATCGTTATTATGTCGGAATACTTTCGATTTTCACTTATTGGACAACAGCACTCGGTTTTCTTGCAGGAATATGTCTGCAAACAACAGGATTACATCCCACACTAGATATTAGTCAAATCGTCGTGGTATTTATAAACTATTTTAATAATAATTAAACTGTATTTATATAAATATATAGGTTGTTACATTAGTAACTGAAGGAATACAGTTTCTTGGTTATTTAGCTCCAAGTATGAAAACATTTCTTGATGCATGCGCTGTTGCGTGGCCAATTCTACAGTACATTGAGGAAGCCGAGGTACGCATATATATATTAGTTGCTGACGACTTAATTATATTTTCAGGAGATCAATATTAACTTGTGACTGAACTAATTTCTTGTATTCTTTATTACTAGATTTATGATGAAGCATCGCCAACAACTTTACCAGCGATATTTAATACACCACCGATTACAAAAGCTTCAATCAAATTACAAACGGGTGATCCAATAGAAATCACGTTCGAAAACGTTTCTTTTTCATATCCAAGTCGAAACAAGAAACTAGCACCTGAACATGCTTCATTTAGAGTTAAGACAGGTTCAACTGTAGCATTCGTAGGTGGTTCTGGCAGTGGTAAAATTAATAATATAAACTAAAAATTTTCTATTATAATCCATATAGGTAAAAGTACATGTATACAACTTTTACTACGTTTTTATGATCCAACTGATGGTCATATTAAAATTAATGGACATCATATTCAAGAATATGACATCAGCAATTTACGTCAAACCATAGGTCTTGTCAGTCAAGAACCAGTATAAATTCATATATATTTCTACTTTTTGATAATATGAAAATTGGTATTTTTATTTCTAGATCCTTTTTGCAACTTCAATTAAAGATAATATTAGTTATGGTAAACAAGATTCAACATATGAGGAAATTGTTGAAGTAGCTAAACAATCTAATGCTCATGATTTTATTATGAAACTTTCAAAAGTAAATACTATTTTTATTTTCATTTCTGTAATGTAATCAAAATAAATTTATTGTTTTTTTTTCTATATAAGGCTTACGATACTTTAGTTGGCGAACGAGGCGTACAGTTAAGTGGTGGTCATCGACAACGTATTGCTTTAGCACGTGCTCTCATTCGTAAACCTAGTTTACTTTTACTTGACGAAGCTACAAGTGCACTAGATTCATCTAGTGAAAAATTTGTTCAGGAAGCGCTCGACCGTGCTGTAGAAGGTATTGTAATTTATTGTGAAATTTTCAATTGATTTATGTCATAAATATGATGGTAGGTCGAACAACTCTTATTGTTGCACATCGTTTGTCAACAATACGGTATGCTGATTGGATAATAGTTATGAAAGATGGTTCAATTGCTGAACAAGGTTCACATCATGATCTTATGGCAGCTAAAAATATTTACTATGAGTTAGTTACCAAACAACAGATGAAAATGGTACATTCTGATACATCGATGTCAACAGATTTAGAAGAAGTTGATATTGATAAGATAGAAACAAATGACACACAGTCAACCGATGGTAAATATAGACTAAAATATCTCATTTGAATTACATAACCAGTAATAATATCTTGTTCAACGAAGCGAATCGAAACACGATTACTGATAATATATAAATTCTATTTCTTTTTTGCAGATATTCAACTTGAACAAAGAGACAATGATGAAATATCGAATAAAGTGGAAGAAATACTTCCTGAAGTTCAACAGGTCAATTTTCTTTTCTTAGCAAATCTGTATTTGTAAATTTCATATGTATCTCTTTATAGCGTAAATCAAGTTCACTTCATTCGTTATTTAAATTATTTAAATTAAATGCTCCTGAATGGCCTTACTTAATAGTCGTTTGTGTCTCTGGGATAATCTCTGGTGGATTTTCTCCAGCATTTGCTTATTGTCTAGCCGAAACTATCAGCGTGAGAATATATAAAAATGAATATTTTCAATATTATTTATACATTTATAATACATAGTCATTTCAAGAATGTACACTTTCAGAACAAATGAACGAAGTCATTACTTTTACACGCATTATATTTCTCTTGGGCATCGGCGTTTGCTTAGTCAAGATTACACACGTATGCATTAATGTTTACTTTTTTTAAATAGTATATTATTATCTAGTATGTCTATAAAACATGATTTCATATAGTCTTAGTGATTCAACATTTGTCTATTATTACTAGTTCTAGCTTCATCGGTTATGTTCAAATAAATAATTATCTATTTTTTTTATTTATGAAGGTACGTTTGCCTCGCAATAGCTGGTGAACGACTGACGAGTCGAATACGAACTAAAGCATTTGAATGTATGCTACATCAAGAAATCGGTTGGTTCGATATGCCTGAAAATAATACTGGTTCTCTCTGTGCACGTCTTTCTACAGATGTATTGGCTGTTCAATCTGTATGTATTATTTCGAAATTAAAATCTTTGAAATATTCTCATCAGATGAAAAATTGTGAATAATTTGTTAAATTCTAGTTAACCAGTGCTCGACTTGGCTTGATGATTGAATCCTTATCACTTCTGGTCATTGCTCTTATTATTGGATTAATTTTTTCTTGGCAATTAACCCTAGTTGTCTTCGCTTTAATTACATTTGAATTGATCGCAGCCATAATGGATGTTCGGCGAAAAAGTCTAATACAAACAAAAGTCGAAACTATATTAGGAAATGCTAATGAACTTATTACACAAAGTGTACGCAATATTCGTACCGTTTTTCAACTCAATAGACAACAATAAATGTTAATTGAGTTCGAACATATCATTGATCAAACATATAAGTAAATTATATTCTACAGGGAATTACAACTATGTATTTTTATTTCTTTTAGAGTTATGCGCCCAAGCATATTCAAAGGTGCTCTAGCATTTGCATTTTCTTTTCCAATAGCTACATTAGTATTACCTTGTATTGCTGAATTAGCTATTGTTCTGCTTAATAACAATCAGATCGACCCAGAACGTATTGTTTTGTAAGTCAACTATGTACATGTTAAGAAAAACATCTGTTATTTATTTATAGGTTATTTGCCTTTGTACCATTTACTTTCGATGTAATTCAAGTATCAACAATGGTGTAAGTATGATTAATAAATAGTTTCTATCATCTTTTGTACTACTAATGAATGAACAGTAGATAATATTAATTTTTTCTATTTCATTATGAATAGCTCATCGGAATTAGGTGGAACAACAGCAGCGGCAAAACATATCAATCAATTATTGGAACGAACTCCTTTAATTGATAATATGTCAACAGATGGAAAAAAACTTGTAAGTTGATACGAAATTTAATATTGTCATTGATTTTTTCATAATAATAAATAGGAGAACTTTTCTGGGATGATTCAATTTGATAATATTACTTTTTCTTATCCTACACGTAAATTAATAAATATACTCAATGGCTTTCAATTAACAATACAACCTGGTAAGTATTTATATTATTAATTATGTTCATTCTCTAATATGATGTATCTATTTAAGGTCAAAGTGTTGCACTCATTGGTAAGATAATCTATTTTATATTTAAATTGAAGATCAATTTAATATATATATTAGGTTCAAGTGGATGTGGTAAATCAACTGTAACTCAATTACTCGAACGATTTTACGAGTATAATAAAGGACGCGTGGTATGTAATTTGTTTCTCTGTTTTCGTCATAGTAACTCACAAAATGAAAATCGATTTAAGATATATTCGTATTAGATCAAATTCAATGCTATCTTTAATAGTAATTTATAAACTTTATTCTTAAAACAGAAAGATGTGTCGTATATTCATACTACACTACGTGGAAAATGATATGACTAAATAATTCTTTTCCTCAAATCAGAAAACACATGAGTTATTATATATTTATATATGTATGATTTTGAATATTGATTTTTTAACAGTTACTTGATGGTCATGATATACGAACTTTAAATCTATCATGGTTGCGAGCACAAATTGGTCTTATTAGTCAAGAACCAGCTCTTATGTTGGGTCTTACTATTGGTGAAAATATATCATATGGCTGTTCATCACATACATTTACTTATGAAGATATTATAAATGCAGCTAGACGAGCTCATTGTCATAATTTTATAGAAGCGTTACCAATGGTATGTTTCACTCGTTTTATATACTTTAAAAACTACGATTTTTATCTATAAGACATGTTGAACTTTGAAAATAAGTTACTTCATAATAAAAAAATGATTATTTTATTAAATTTTAGGGTTATGATACACCTGTAGGATTGAATGGAACTTCATTTTTATCTGGAGGCCAAAAACAACGTATTGCTATTGCACGAGCTCTTTTTCGTAATCCAAAAATTTTATTACTTGATGAAGCAACGAATGCGTTGGATGTATATAATGAAAGGGTAAATAAAATTTCTTATAAAATACAAATTGACAAAATATTAGATCTCATTTAATGTTCGATTATATTATTTCTATCTTGTTGAAACTTAATAATGTAATTCATGGTAGAGAGTTGAGAAATTTGACACTACTGAATAAGTAGAAATCAATTAATAGTCAAAAAATTTCGTATTATTTCTAATCTTTTTCAGCTTGTTGAAGAATCGTTGAATGCTGCACGGCAAGATAATCCATCACGAACTGTTATTATTGTTGCACATCGTCTTTCTACTATTCAATCATGTGATCTTATTTGTGTTCTTGGTCCTAACGAACGATTACTGGAAAGCGGTACACATGCAGAACTAATGGCATATGGCACTGCTTATCGTAGATTTGCATTTGATCATATGTGAGAAATAGAATGACTATAAACTTTATTCAAAATGATACATATGTTATCTCTCAGTCTTTGGCATAAAAATGGATTGAGAATTGTTATTCTTTAATGTATAATATCATTTCTTAATTAAGAAAAAAATCATATTAATATTATTAAATGACAAAGATTTATTTAAAAAAAAAAAAGATAGCTCCATGAATCAAAGCCGAAGTGAATTAGGTCAAATAAAATCTAAAAACTAATTATGAATTAGAATGTTGCATAGTTTTTGGATTTTTTCTTACTGTTGAGAAGATCACGAATTTTGAATCATGTATATCTATTCAATATAATAGAATGATTTATAAATATAAAAGATCATCAAGTTTAGAAATAAATATTCTGTATTCCATCAGGTCACTTGTCAAGAATTATATATTTTTAATACAGAGTATGATACAACAAAATAAGCGATAGAATTAAAAAGAAAGATTAATTTTGATATTTATATTAATGAATGTTTGCCACGATGGAGAGCGAAATCACTTGAACTTATCACGAAGAAACAGCAAGATCATCCATTGCACTCTTTTGGTTACCTAGTTGTCTAGAACCTCATTCACACTCACAGTTTATTCGTATTCGTCCTAATTCTTGGGATTGGTCGTCGATATCTTTTTCAATTAACTAATAAACTAAAATAATAACCAATATGGATACAAAAAAATATTCATTTTACCTTATATTTCTATTCAAAAGTTTCGTTTTATTAGTTTTGTCGCTTGAGATTATTCTTAATAGATTGATTATCTTATTTATTTTAGTCGAAATAAATAACTTTTAATTGACATATTCTTATAAAGTTCAATAATATATGGTTATTCATTCATCAGCAAATAAAGAAAAAATAGATTATAGCGTTTGAGAAAATAAATATCATTTTTCATATATCAAACGCGCTGAAAATACATCAAAGAGTCTCTGTCACATTTCTTATACGATTATAGAGTACTAAATATGATTATATCAATGAGCGTTCATAACTGAAACAGTCAATAAGAAAATTTGTTTCACTTCATCCTCGAGTCATACATATCAAGGAGAAATGGAAAGAAAAAATAAAAATAATTTATACATAGACATATACTTGAATAGGTATTTCTCTCGAGTTCTTTTAAACTTCTATGAATGAATGAAAACATGGATTGAGAAATTCTCTGTGTTATTTTTTTGTTTTTCCTATATAGAAAAATTTTTGGAAAATAGTCACGAAATAATCGGTTATTTTCATACGATTTTAATCAATAATTCTAACAGTAATAAGCACACATAAATCAACTATTTTCTTTGTATAGGTAGTAGGGATATACTTTAATGAAAACAATGTGATCGACGCATTTCTGCTTGAGGTCACACAATTTTTCCTTGATAGGAGAATAGGATACAGCCGCCGAAACGTTTTATTTGTACTATTAAATCATATGTATTATTCGATATTTTTCATTCCTCTTTTCCATTTGATTCTAATAGAAAAATCAAAAGAAATAAATCATTCTCCTTATTTTTGTCATCCAAATACAATAAGTTCCTTGGTACAAACCAAACGAACAGAATTAAATCAAGTGTCAGACAAATATAAAATCATTATTTTTCTATTATTTTTTTTTAATTCTTTCTAAACAATAATATTTCATTCATTTACTTAAAAATATCTAATATGTTTAAGAAATTCGTTATTTTAAAGATTCATGAGTTATAAATAATCTATAATTACATACCTTTAACATGAATGATAGTATAAATTTTAGTTTTTGTTGCATAAATATATTCCTAATTCGATATTATAATGAAGGTTGAAACAATTATTTATGTATAATATTGATTTGTAAATAAAATCATATTATTATTCTTTTCGGTTGACGAAGATTAATTGATATTTATTTTCCATACTCTTCCTTTATTTATTTATTTAAAAACAAGTCAACTTTCGAAATGCACTGCATTTCTTTATCATACATTTTTTCTACTGTACATAACATTTTATACACTTATATATACATATTATAAAGAGTCATTGTCTTTGTTCTTTTTCTTTGTTAAACGTTTAATATTGATACAGGCAAGGTCTCAAACTCGACTTAGTCACTCTTACCGTCTTGTCTCCTCTATCATTATTTAATATTTAACAAAGGAAAAACAAAGACAATGACTCTTTATAATATGTATATATAAATGTATAAAATGTTATGTACAGTAAAAAAAATGTATGATAAAGAAATGCAGTGCATTTCGAAAGCTGACTTGTTTTTAAATAGATAAATAAAGGAAGAGTATGGAGAATAAAAAAGCATATTATTAATAAATATTATATTTAGGCTTATAGAAAATATCATTGGTATTATGTAACTATTTGGAAATAAATGATAATCTTAAAAAAAATTCTATATATCATGAATATATATATGAGTTTTATTGTAGAACTGGATCGATGATTTCGATTTCTCATACCTCTTTAATTTATTTTATTGTTTTCTTTACGGTTAATAAAATTCTAACTTAAAGCTTTATGATTGTATAGAGATTAAAAGCAATCGATAATTTATTTTTTATTTTTTTTATCTATAAATGGTTTAGAATTAGATCTGAACGACTTTTTACATATGATATTCTCATTTATTTTTAGTCTTTATCAATCATTAAATTTACTATCTCTGAGTTTTTAATGATAACATATTACTCCTACGCGACAGTTACGAAGAAAATATTAATTTGATTTGCATCTATGAAAAAATATCTAAAATTTTTGCCTTTTACATAGTGTTACCCACGTTTTTTGATAATATGAAAGAAAACAGATAAAATACGTACAGGACGCAAAATCAGTGAAGCAAAGAGTATTGAATTACTCCTCATGGTAATGCATATAAACTTATAATAAGCTTCACGTTTCATAATAGTGTATATTTGAAAAGAAAACGACGAATATGAGTGATAAAGAGCCATTATTAAAGAAACATAACAAATTACTTAATGATAATGATAACGACAATGAAAACAAAAGGTATGATTTGATAAATATATAATATTGATAACAATATAATTAACTCATAATTATCTCTAGTTTTTCTCATTGGCGTCAATACTTCAGTCGGCAAAAGACTGATGATAAGAATAAAAAGTTAGATGATGAGATCAAGCACACTACTAAAGATATTCCAGTCAGTGTTTTTCAATTGGTAAGATATTTAAACATAATATATCATAAGATGAAGCATGTTGTTTTTCTTTTTAAAATATATATAACAATTAATTGATTTAATTTAATCATAGTTTCGATTTGCTGATCGTATTGATCTTCTTCTTATGATGATTGCTCTATGTTTGATGTTGGTGCATATAGCTTGTATTCTCGCAAATGTAATTCTTTTTGGTCGAATCACGGGATTATTTGCCACTACATCATTTGCTGTTGATTGTGACGATCATTATGAAAATTTCACATCTGCAATTATCAATAATAGTGTATGTCCTCTTGGAATTAATCTTAATCCATTAAATTATGACCGATTACATAAGTAATTTCTTGCAAAATATTCTTATTTTGAATTTTTTAAAATTTCTCATTCGTAGACTATGCGATTATAATAATAAAACAATTTCATCGACATTATCTCCATTAACGCCTTTATTTCATGAAAATGTTATGCATCTAGTTTATTGGTTCTTTAGTAAGTCTATTGAATATGATGATTTCAACTAAAATAACAAGCGATTTGTTGTTTCTCTGTGCCAATGTAGGTTTAAGTATTCTTGCATTTCTATGTTCTTCTCTTGAATATATCTGTTGGACAGTTGCTACGAAACGACAAACATCTCGCATGAGCGTTTTACTCTTTCAATCACTTATTCAACGTGTAAGTTAAAATATATTTTTACGCTCATAAAATACTTTATAGTTCGTGAACATAATTTAAAACTGAATAGTATCAAATTTCTACTAGGAACGGTTATACGTTGAAGAGTAACTAAAATAAATGATTATACACAATTAAACTAGTTAAAATGCAGTTTATTCTATTTATTTCTCTTGCTTCAAGTCAAACAAAGAACAGAATTAAGTAGATCATTTTCGTTTCGATTTTTGATTTTCTTTTCTCAAGGTATTTCTTTAATAAAAAAAACTAATTATTCTGAAAACATCGTCAGTATATCAATTAAATTATGAAAATAATCAATATAAAATATGTAAGAGACGATGATATTAATACAAATGAATCTTAAAGATCATGTTGAAGTTAAATTTACTGTAAAAGAATTAGAAAATTTTATTATTGATACCATTTAGAAATAGTTTAAACAAATTAATTAGAAAATAATTTTAAAGAAAATGATAATGATAAACCCATAATTTTCAATACATTTATTTATTTGTTAAATTATGATTTAAGATAAAGTATTGCATTATTTCTCTTTCATTTTTTAGAACATGACATATTTGGATACAAACCAAACTACTCAATACAATTCAAAGCTTTTTATGTAAGTAAATATAATAAGTTTATAACAAACAATTATATATGATCGATTTCCTTTACAGTACTATTGAAAAGATCAAAAATGGAATAGGTTTTGAATTCTTACTAGTAATTGAATTTATTCAAACCATGGTTTTCAGTATAATCATATGTTTTATTCTCAAATGGCAATTATCTTTAATCATGTCTTGTATAATTCCAATTATTGTTGGTAGTTCATTTATGTTTGCTAAGGTAGAAATAATTATTTAATTTGCTAAAATTTTATCAATAATTACAGATCATCACGAAAGAAACAGAAGAGCAATTAAATACATATTCAAAAGCTGAACAAATCGCTCAAGAAGTATTTAGTTCATTAAGAACTGTTCTTTCATTCAATGGAAGTAAATGGCAACAAAAACAGTAAATAAATGAATAAATACAGAATTATAGATTATTGTATTATTTATTGTATTTAGATACGCCAAAGAATTAAAATTAAATGAATGGTGTACTGTTCGCAAAGATGTTGCATTTGGTGCATTTTTCGGTTGGTTATTTTTTATAAATTTTCTAGTTTATTCAATTGGTTTTACTTTTGGTTCCATTCTTATGTCTTATGAAACTCATCATACACTGAC